TGGTGCTGAGGATCGAACCTGGGCCGCATGCATGCCAGGCGAGCACGCTACCGCTTGAGTCACATCCTCAGCCCAATTTTCTCTTGTTTCTAAGAACCACCCCTTTATGGACCCAGGCCAAAGCGGGAAGTCCTTAACTCTTACCCTTTATTCTTGAGCCAGTAAACACCAGAAGCTCACATTGGCCCCTCAGCTGCCTCTCCCAGTCCCCTTCAGAGGTAAGACTAGGCCTGGTGCCTGGCTCACCTCTCTTGCACCCTATTATCCTGGACTTTACATAGTGTACCAGAGATTGAACTCAGGGCCACTCAACTACTGAGCCACATCCCCAGCCCTATTTTGTATTTTATTTAGAGACAGGGTCTCACTGAGTTGCTTAGGGCCTTGCTGTTGCTGAGGCCGGCTTTGAATTCGTGATCCTCCTGTCTCAGCCTCCCAAGCCACTGTGATTATAGGCATGCATCACCATGCCTGGAACATAGTGATTTCTTTAATGTATCTTTTTGAAAATATCATTTTAAATTTTTAATTGAAGTAGTTTTAGTTTCTATGTCACAGATGGGAAAGCAGAGGCATAGAGAGTCCAATGAATGTGCTCAAAGTTGTGGAACTGTCTGGTTTAATAAAGTTCTGGATCCAAACTGCCCAAAGTTCAGCTTCTTTTTTTCTTTTTTATCTTTTAGTGTTTTTTTATTCTATTTTTATTTTTATTTTATTTTTATTCCTGCCCAGATTACTCAGCAGGCCCTTCTGCCCCTCACCTTTTGGGTCTTCCCACCTACATTCTATCACTGCAAGATAACAGAACAAAGGGCAGGAAGCTGACAGAAATGCGGGAAAGCTGAAAGAAGACCTTGGCTATGAAGAGGGGAGACATCGCCCTTCCACCATTCCACCTCCTGGGTCCCCTTCTTCCTCCGGGAGAAGTCTTTTCTGCTGTCCTTCAATGAAGCTTCTCCTTTGCACTCTACACTTGCCTCGGAGTGCTTCTCTGGTGTTATATTTCAGCATTGGGGAAGCAAGGACTTGTCACCGGTAAACAATGGTAACACCATGGCATGAGTTTCCAAACCTGGATTTGGTAATAAGAATACAATCCAGTTGCTACTGGATCCTAGGTCTCCAGGATTGCAATTCCCAAAAGACACTGAATAAATGTCTTCTCTCAAGCCTACTTATTGGTTTTGTTTCAGGTTTTTGGAGAATTTCTGAGCAGTGATTTTATGATCATTGCCATGTGCTAGATACTTGCAAATTTCAATGTACTAATAAAGTGAAGTTGCTGGGCAGGCCGCATCAGCACCACCTGGAATGCAGACTCCTTGACCCTACCCCAGACTTGCTGAATCAAGTTGCTGGGCTGGGGATACAGTTCAGTAGTAGAGCATTTGCTTAGCATGCATGAAGCCCTGGATTCACACCCCAACACCACATACACAAACACACACGTGTAGCTCAGAGGTAGAGTATTCCTGGGTTCAATCCCTGGTACTATGGAAAAGAGTATATGCTATTTGAGATTGAGAAAGTTTTGAAGGAAATTGATTTGCCGCATTTTAACAGATCTATAAAATATGCAAGTGGCAAATGTCTCAGGCAGTATGCAATTTAGAGTTGTGGACAGTATGAACAGTTAAAACAGTGAGATTCACTGCTACCATAGAGTGAATGATTATAGGACGAGAAGGTGGCTGATGAGGACGGAGCCCTGGGGCAGCCAGACAACTACAACTTGGGAAAGCTGCTAGAGGGTGAGACACCGCTTGGGCAGCTCCGCCAAGTCCGTTAAAGCTTGTGAACTACATTTCCCAGAATCCCCTCTGTCTGCGCTTCCTGGCTAGAAGCGGCCAATGAGATACCGCGAGATTTGGAAGGCGGAAGTGAATCGGAAGCCATTACTCTCGAGAGGCGATTACTGTAAGACA